CTTTTGTGTGCTATATAGTCATTGAGATAACTACTTTTGTTATCGTTCCCTTCCCACAGACAATTGGGTAATATTCCCAACTGAATACTTAGTTGTAGACCAGTAGATTGACGGCTGAGAGGCGGGACCAAAGAGCCAAAGCTCAACCCCTGCAAGCACAACTAGGTGGGTGAGTACTTAAGGCTCTGACACCTCGCATGACCGCCGGGACGCTTGTGAACACCTTTTGTGTACAACTTTACTGAACGCCTTTTGTGTATAGTTTTAGTGAACGTCTGTGAACACCAGAGCCAACCGCACGAAGATGTCAACTCCATGTTGTTACGGACCTGTTATGAGGAGGTTAGTGCGACCAGATGTGTTATGAGTGAAGTATGATGGGGTGAGAGAAAACAGTTACAACCAGAGACCGAGGGAAAGGTTCGTCCAGTGTTGGTCATCCACTCAACACTGTCAACACCAGTGTGTGGCGTCCCCGGGGTGGGTGACGGTCTGGGTACACACACACACACACACACACACACATATTACAATTTTTTTGTTAGTGTCAGAGTAGTTGACAAATGGAATGCATTAGGCAGTGATGTGGTGGAGGCTGACTCCATACACAGTTTCAGAAGTAGATATGATAGAGTCCAGTAAGCTCAGAAACCTGTACACCAATTGACTGACTGTTGAGAGGCGGGATCAAAGAGCCAGAGCTCAACCCCCGCAAGCACTAGGTGAATACACACACACACATACACATATAAGAAAAATAAATTGGTTAGAAAGGAGGGGTCCAAGAGCTAATAGTTCGATTCTGCAGATACAAATAATAAATACAATAGTAAATACACAAACAGGTCCTCGCAGCAGAGTGGACAGCACTCTGGGTTTGTAGCTCTAAGGGCATATGGGTTCGATTCCTGGTCGAAGCAGAAACAAATTGGACAGAAACACCCGATTCCTTAGTTCACCTAGTAGTAAACAGGTACCTGGGAGTTAGACAGTTGCTATGGGCTGCTTCCTGGGAATGTGTGCGTGTGAGAAAAATATGTAGTATAATGTGAAAGAAGACATATGTAGGGAGTCAGTACATTAGACAACCAAACAACGGTTATAAAGGCGGGGTCCAAGAGCTAGCAACTCCACCCTGCAGGCCCAAATAGTAAATACACCTCCGTCCATGACACCCACTGGCACCTCCACACTGACTGATGAAGATTAGGATATCCCAAGAGGTGGCACGAGCATGAACAGCCCGTGAACATTACCTCCACACAGGCCCTTTCACCCTTGTAAACAGCATCTCTTCCCCTCCAATCCCTTCCACTACCCCGTCCCAAACAACCACTACCTCTTTCAGACCATTACGTTAGACTGCGCCAAAGCTAGCCCCACCACCCACCTCCAAGACATCTCACTACCTCACTAAAAAAATCCTTGAGCCCCACCTCACGACTTCCTCCAGGCCAGCGGATGAGTAACGGGCCAGCGCATGCGTACACCACTCTCGCTCTCACACGACATCAGCGCGGGCTGACGCATGCGTACATCACTCTCGCTCTCACACGACATCAGCGCAGGCCGGCGCATGCGTACACCACTCTCACGCGACATCAGCGCGGGCTGACGCATGCGTACATCACTCTTGCTCTCACACGACATCAGCACGGGCTGACGCATGCGTACACCACTCTCACACGACATCAACGCGGGCCAGCGCATGCGTACACCACTCTCACACGACATCAGCGCGGGCCGGTGCATGTGTACACCACTCTCATTAGTCTGATTTCCCTGTACGTTGATTACGATGGTCTGGTGACCCTGTATGTTGCACACGATAGTCTGGTGGCCCTGGACTCAAACATAGCGTCCCCCAGATGCCGTGCATGCAATAATGACACAATACTTAAAAGAGGAGAAAGAACTCGTCCCTCATTCTCGGTGAAGGACTATAATTAGACAAGAACATGATTGTTGAGGAGGAGCCGAGAGACCCTCCTGGCAGGTAAACATCGCCCAGGACTCATAAATACATAGCAACACACGCCAACTTGTCGACAACAATGATCTATTACGTCAGCGTTGCTTTATTTCTTAGGTCCCTTCTTGCGGAGCAGAATGACAAGTCATATGTTCCAGAGCCTCTTGGCCTTGGGTTACATTACGGCTGGCTTGAGAGATATACCTAGCAAACACACAACGTAACTGAACTGGCAGCCATGCCCAACTAACACAACGTAACTGTATTACGCCATATCTAGCAAATACATAAAATAACTGCATTGAGAGCCATGCCCAGCAAACACAACGTAACTGCACTGGCAGCCATGCCCAGCAAAATAGAACGTAACTGTATAGTGTCATACCCAGCAAATACACAACGTAAGTGCATTGAGAACCATGCCCAGCAAATACACAACTGCACTGAGAGGCAGGTGGTGGTGGAGAAACCTGCTGCAGTCGAGGCAGGAGCCGCCCCAGCAGGCAAGATTACTTGCCGTCTGATATCAGCACGTGTGGGAGGGACGCAACCTGTGGGAGGGACGCACACTTCCTGACGCAGCCTGTGGGAGGGGTTCTTCTTGAGATTATCTTGAGATGATTTCGGGGCTTTAGTGTCCCCGCGGCCCGGTCTTCGACCAGGCCTCCACCCCCAGGAAGCAGCCCGTGACAGCTGACTAACACCCAGGTACCTATTTACTGCTAGGTAACAGGGGCATAGGGTGAAAGAAACTTGGCCCATTTGTTTCTGCCTCGTGAGGGACGCACACTTCCTGACGCAGCCTGTGGGAGGGACGCACACTTCCTGACGCAGCCTGTGGGAGGGACGCACACTTCCTTACGCAGCCTGTGGGAGGGACGCACACTTCCTGACGCAGCCTGTGGGAGGGACGCACACTTCCTGACGCAGCCTGTGGGAGGGACGCACACTTCCTGACGCAGCCTGTGGGAGGGACGCACACTTCCTGACGCAGCCTGTGGGAGGGACGCACACTTCCTGATGCAGCTTGTGGGAGGGACGCACACTTCCTGACGCAGCCTGTGGGAGGGACGCACACTTCCTGACGCAGCCTGTGGGAGGGACGCACACTTCCTGACGCAGCCTGTGGGAAGGACGCACACTTCCTGACGCAGCCTGTGGGAGGGACGCACTCTTCCTGACGCAGCCTGTGGGAGGGACGCACACTTCCTGACGCAGCCTGTGGGAAGGACGCACACTTCCTGACGCAGCCTGTGGGAGGGACGCACACTTCCTGACGCAGCCTGTAGGAGGGACGCACACTTCCTGATGCAGCCTGTGGGAGGGACCCACACTTCCTGACGCAGCCTGTGGGAGGGACGCACACTTCCTGACGCAGCCTGTGGGAGGGACACACACTTCCTGACGCAGCCTGTGGGAGGGACACACACTTCCTGACGCAGCCTGTAGGAGGGACGCACACTTCCTGACGCAGCCTGTGGGAGGGACGCACACTTCCTGACGCAGCCTGTGGGAGGGACACACTTCCTGACGCAGCCTGTAGGAGGGACGCACACTTCCTGACGCAGCCTGTGGGAGGGACGCACACTTCCTGACGCAGCCTGTAGGAGGGACGCACACTTCCTGACGCAGCCTGTAGGAGGGACGCACACTTCCTGACGCAGCCTGTAGGAGGGACGCACACTTCCTGACGCAGCTTCAACACGCAACAAGTTATCCAGTATAAGCAGAACTCTTATACAGATCACAATATGTACATATCACAATATCATTATCACGTGAGATAACCATAATCTAGAAATAACACACATCATCTAGTAACCTTATAGAAACCAATAATCTAGTCTGACGCCGTGCTGGCTAACAGAGAGGAGTGGCGCGAGCTGTCCTCAGTTTAAACACTAGTAGGGAAGGACGTTTTTCCTTCCTGACAGCTGAGTGAACAGCGCTTCGGATTCGTAGTACTGAGGTTCCGGGTTCGATCCCCGGTGGAGGCGGAGACAAATGGGTCAAATGTTTCTTTCACCTTGTTACCTAGCAGTAAATAGGTACCTGGGAGTTAGACAGCTGCTACCTGGGGGGTGTATAACAAAAAGGAGACTCGGTCGAGGACCGGGCCGCGGGGACGCTAAGCCCCGAAATCATCTCAAGATAACCTTCCCTATAGTGTTTAAACTGAACTCTGGAGGGCTAGCATATTTCTTGGCTTCTTGACTTTTCGTTGTCTTAACGCTTGGTATCAATAGTGGGGTGGGAAAGGTAGAGTGGTGAGGGGGGTGGGGGAAGGTCGGGAGCGATGGAAAGGGTGCTGGGAGGGGGTAGTGTGATGAGGGGGTGCTGGGAGGGAGGTAGAATGATAATGGGAGTTGGCGAGAAGAGGTGCCTGGTACTAGGTGCGAGCAGAAGCCAGTTTACGGGATATTCATGCCTGTGCCACCTCTTAGGTGGCTTAATCTTCATCAATGAGAAGACAGTGAGGGTCGCTGGTATTAAGTCCCTACACCCCGCCCCCACCAGGCACTTCCCACTCGCGCCAGGCACTTCCCGCCCGCGCCCACACCTCGACTGTCCCTCACCGCCCACCCTATAGCACCTCCTATCCCTGACTGGAAGGTCACCAACAGCTAAATTTACCTCGTGACCTTGGTGAAGACTCCCATCATGCCCCCTGACCATATACACTTTCCCTCCTGCTATATTCTTCCTGAAACCTGTCACGACGATATTCTTTAGTCCCACTGGCACCTCCCACTGGCACCTCCCACTGGCACCTCCCACTGGCCCCTCCCACTGGCACCTCCCATGACACCCCACCACTCGTTAGTGCAAGACCTTTCCACCTTCGCTGCTGCTTCTTCATCTTGACTACTTTTTCCTCTATGCTACATCCTCCCCCCACCCCCACGATTGTCACCCCCACATTGTCTCCCCCCCTACCCCCGCCAGGACCACAATCACCCCTCACCGTTCCTGCCTACCCAACATGACCTCTCCGACCAGGGCTCCACAGCCTCACTGGGCATCAAGACCTGGTTGTGTGTGCATATCCAGCCTCCTGGGTCCTCCTGTCTGCCTCTGCCGCTCTCTGCGCCTCCAGCAGCGCCTCCGTCAGCCTCCACGATGAGGAGTTTGCGCATCGCCTTACTAGTGAGTTGCCTCTGTCTTAGTCCTGTGCACCGGCGGCTTCCTCCAGCCGTACACTACGAGTCTGTGGTGTTTATATCGTTTAATGCTTATACTTATGACAGGGAACCACACACTGTTGCTTCCCGGCAACTGTAACCGAGGTGTGACACTACGCATGTGCCAGCAGGGGTGCGCAGTGTGGCACTATACGCATGTGCCAGCAGGGGTACGTACAGTGTGGAGACTTCAACGCCGCCAAGAACAAATCTGAGTTTGCTTCGTTGCAAATAGAACAACAGTTAAACTCACCTCAGTGTAGAACAAGTTATTCTCACCTCAGGGTAGAACAAGTTATACTCACCTCAGTGCAGAACAAGTTGTACTCACCTCAGTGTAGAACTTATACTCACCTGAGTGTAGATCAACAGTTATATTCACCTCAGTGTAGAACAACAGTTATAATCACCTCAGTGTAGAACAACAGTTATATTCACCTCAGTGTAGAACAAGTTATATTCACCTCAGTGTAGAACAACAGTTATATTCACCTCAGTGTAGAACAAGTTGTAATCACCTCAGTGTAAAACAAGTTATTCTCACCTCAGTGTAGACCAAGTTATACTTACCTCAGTGTAGAACAACAGTTGATGGATAGTTAGAGGGATAGATGGATGGATGAATAGATAAATAGAAAGATTTATAGACAGAGAGACCCGGGCACCGCCGGCGGTCCCTAACATTATTTTAATGGTGGATGTAAATCCGAGTGACTGAGACTGGATTGCAATGTTTTCAGACGTTTCAGGTCCTATAAGAAGGGATGCAACAGTGTGTTGGATCACGATAGCGGGGATGGATAGGATGCATGGGCCGAACAGAGTGGAGGGATAGATATATAGATATACTATAAGGAGTATAAGATATAGTAAGGAGAGGTGGAGAGGAGAGATGCAGGACTATCTATCCTATCTAGAGGGATAGTTCATATAAACTATTTGATCAAGCGTGCCAATATGTCCTGTCGGATCCCCCCCCCCCCAAAAAAAAAAGTCCGAGAAAATATATGCTAAAAAGCAAATTTAAATATTCCTAGGTTTAGTATAGCACATGTAATATACTGTATTAAGTCTAGGCTAGCGTGTATTAGGCCTACGAATGCTTCGACAGGTTAGCTTACGGTCGTTAAGATACATTTGCGATCTAAGGGAATACCATTAAGGCTAGTTCAATAATACAAAAGTGAACTTTTCATGTCTAACTTTTGGTAAGTTCGACAAAATAGTTACTATTTTGTACTATTATTTTAGGGGAGATGGGCTGGTAAAATCCCGGCTCCTAGCATCTTCTAGCTATAAGTGCAATCCTTGCAAGACAAGCATACTGATAGTCTTGCAGAGTCCAGAGAAAGTGCGAGTAATTCTTGAAGCAAACATTTTAAAAATTAAATAAACATTGGAGAGTCCGCGCCGAGGGGTTGGTCAGCTATATGTCCTCGAGTTCTAAAGTGAGTCCACAGGAGTCCTTCACCTTAAATATGAGAGTCCGTGGTTGTTAACAACAAAAATTAGAGCCATAGTTCCTGTTGTTGTTAGATTCAGCAACTCTGAACAAAGTTTCCATGTAGCAGGGGCTATGGAAGTCCGTGGGAGCCGTTTACCTTAAATATGAGAGTCCGTGGGAGCCGTTTACCTTAAATATGAGAGTCCGTGGGAGCCGTTTACATTAAATATGTGAGTCCGTGGGAGCCGTTTACCTTAAATACGAGTCCATGAGAGCCGTTTACCTTAAATATGGGAGTCCGTGAGAGTCGTTCACCAGGACAACGACACACTGGTTGGTGAAGACATACACAGACTGGAAGAACAGTTTGGATGGCCGCCATTCGGGCCAGAAGTGACACACCGCCGCTGCCGCCCATAACGAATATCCAGTAGTAATGAATATTTAATGAAAAGCAAACCCGGTAAGTTAATTAATATATATTATGTAAAGTTTGGCAGTGTTGTTTCGGACCTTTCTACAGCAAATATCTACCAACATGCGCTGGTCGACCCATAACAAATGAAGGCGCGCGGCGCCAGACACTCTCCCTCTCTGGGTCACAAGTCCCACGCTTCCCCCCCCCCCCCCCCCCCCACACACACACAGCAATTATCCAAACAGATGAGAGACATGTGCTCTTGTACAGAAGTTTATATAGGGGCGTTTGTCCCATTTCCTCTGACTTGTGGTACAGGCCAGATAGAGGGGCTCGCCCCTAGAAATGTGGCCGGAGTGTCTTTCACCAGAGACACCTCTTGTGAGAATAGTGAAGCCCTAAGAACCCCCCTCCACCACTCTCGTCTGAGAAGTAACGGAGGTCCTAAGAACCCCTCCGCCACCCCTCGTCTGAGAGGGGTAACGGAGGCCCTAAGAACCCCTCCGCCATCCTCGTCTGAGAGGGTAACGGAGGCCTTAAGAACCCCCTCCACCACCCTCGTCTTAGAAGTAACGGAAGTTCTAAGAACCCCTCCACCACCCTCGTCTGAGAGGGGTAACGGAGGCCCTAAGAACCCCTCCACCTCCCTCGTCTGAGAGAGGTAACTGAAGCCCTAAGAACCCCTCCACCACCCTCGTCTGAGGGAAACAAGGGAGGCCTACTAAAGACCTTGACCACCGTCTGGGAGAACTAAGGGAAGCCCTGATATTATATCCTTCCCAGAACACAATGACCTCAGGCGACGATCTAATGCCAGACAGGAATTTAAACCACCGATGGCTAGCAAGTAGCGGGAATTCTCTGCGTGTTTTTAGCATGAGTGTGTGAAATCGCCCTGCTTTTCGACCAGTGTGTGACGTCGACCTGCTGGTCGACGAGTGTGTGAGTAGGACCATCTTGCTGTGGTGTGTGTGAGACCCTCGAGGGCCATCTTGCTTGTAGACCAATAATTTCTATTTTCAGGGACAAGAAGCCTGTAGTTAGCATTCCTGTCTCCGACAGTAGTACTGGTCTGCAGTGTCACGAGGACGTGTCAGAGGGATAGAACCAGTAGAGCCAACAGCATAACCCTAGGGCTTAAGAACTATTCTCTGTGATTAACCACGTTACAAGACCATTTTCCCTACAATTTAGCATCTCTAATCCAGCGTCCAGAACCCGCCGTACCAGCACTGTGACGGCATAAGTGAGAGTACCAGAGCTCTTGACGTTGACCTGGCGCCCACACCACGGTGGAAGCCAATGCCAGATTGCTAATGAGAAACACATATGTGAGAGGCTAGGCAAGCTCTCACTGCTAAAAGCAGTTCACTTCGGAAGTCCCCACCACAGTCCACTGCCCTAAGCCTAGTTCACTTGGCACAGCCCACTGTTCTAAGCCTGGTCCCCATAATTGTGCTACAATGAGCGGCCAGCTACCCACTACTAACAACGCTGAGTAACCCCAGCAGCTCCTCGGTAGTACCGACATTGGAGAAAACTTGTGTTTGTCAAGGTTGGAGCAACACCCACCACACAACAAGTCAACATGGTGGGACGTCACAGTAGTGCTGGCATAACAGCAGGAGCCGCAAAACGCTAACATGTACAAGTTTCAGCAGTAAGTGTAAAGGGGGAATTGTGATGAGAGGTAAAAGTGCTTATTCATGGGCTGTGCGCACACAAAACTCTCTATTCATGGGTACGCTAAGTTTATATGACTTGCGAGTTATTACATATTTCCATACCTACCAATCTTGAACGTGAAGTCGTCCTAGATAATCACACCTTCATGATTCATTAAATGTAGTATTATGCTGTAAAGTATAATTCTTGTGGCTAATAGCAGAACACACAAGTGGTGATGGAACACCAGTTGGGGTAGGAGACACACAACGATTATTACTACACTGTATTTAACACGTAGTAGGCTTTGAGAGTTATTCCACTGCCTAAGTCCGGCCGGGCTTGTCTTGTGATAATGATCTAAAAGAAGTGCTTGAGAGTAGTCCAGCAAGCTCAAATATCCATCACAACCTGGCTGATCCAGCACTCCTGCGGGAACCTGGCCACTTGTCTCTAAAACTCCTGCACTTCATCTCCGGTAATTGATCATTTAAAAATCATGTTATGTTGCTCTGGTCAAGTCTCTATTTATATATGGCTGTAGGGTTTAAACGTCTTCTACCGAGCTCAGTTTCGTGTCGATTTTTGTATTGTGTGTAAAAGATGACAGGAAACTGATTTGTATTTTTCTCTCCGGGGTAAGAATGAGAGTAGTGGCGCAAGGACAGAGCCACTCACTGTCCTCGAACTTGATTTTATTTTTCTGTTACTCAGTTGCCAGGGGAGTGACTGACCTCTGTCCCACTTTACCAGTTACTCTTTTGTAATATATCGACAAGATAGAACATGAAACAATTTCTACAAATTGCATAAATGAACATTTACAAAAGACCCGGAGTAAATACTTGTTTGGCAACAGGGTTGTTGATTTACAGAACAACTTACCGGGTAACATAATAGTAGTGGGATCACTGAATTGTTTCAAGCGTAAGTTGCATATAATAGGAATTTGGATTGATATAAAGAACAGATGCCTCGTACAGGCCAACAGACATTCTGCAGTATCGCTAATTCTTATGTTACGTCCTTATTTCATATGTGAGGATTAGGCCGTTTGTTTTCAGCTGAGTCGTTGTGACTTATTTTCAAAGTTTATCAACTGTCTTCACAAAGTCAGAGTATAATGCTCATTTCCAGAGTTCAGAAGCGCTAAGAAGTTATATAGTGTTTAATGAATATAATATTTTGCCATTATAGATACACACACACACACACAACAGATGGAATGCATTAGGCAGTAATGTGGTGGAGGCAGACTCCATGTCCCTGCCTCCACACCTCACACCTCCATGGCCCTGCCTCCACACCTCACACCTCCATGTCCCTGCCTCCACACCTCAATGTTCACAGAGGATAGGAGAAACTGTATATATGCTGTTTAGCATTGTAAATGTGTGGCCACGTCTGTGGTAGAAAAAAACAACTCCACTATGTGTTT